CCACGCTTACTGGCTCTCTTATGGTCTCAGGCAGTACTTTCAACAGGAGCAATTCCGCGTGGGGAACGTCACAAATTCCCAGTTCACGACAGTCTGGAAGAACATGTCAAAAGATCAACAAAAGGTCAGATCCACTATGTATTCTCGCATACTCTCTGATGCGACGTGCGGGGGCAATTAGCATTACCAGGATAAGGCCGACGAAGAGGGAAAAGAAGCCGCGGAGGCTGCGGGTGTAAGTGTACTGTGCCAAAGTCGAGATTAGCTGACAAATTTTTCTAGAGGACATGGAAGCCCCGAGTACGGAAGGTAGGGAACCAGGAGAAAGACGCATAGGACCTGGTTAGGTATGTGCACGAGACACATTTGTATTCATGTAAGTAATGATTCTTATATCACACAGTATCTGCCTTGGATTTCTTGCTCAGAGCGTCGAGGATCGGTGGGAGGGAGAACTGGGAGCAGAGGGGGATGGGAGGGGGATGGGCGGGGGGAGTGGGGGAGGGGGGGAGTGGGGAGGGGGGCGGCGGGGAGGGGGGGACGGGGAGTGGACTGGATGCGGGAGGGACTGCAAGCGGGAGGTATTGGGCGGTATTGGGTGGTATGGGGTTCCATCCAGAGCAATTGGGCAGCATTGGTACAAAAGGTAGATGGTACGGTGTAGTATGGTTATCAGGATACAATGGGCCGTAATGTATTGTAAAGGCTGTCATTCCGTAGCAATGCAACATCGTACTGATTAGCAGTAGTCTTGAGCATACCAACAAGGTCCAATGAAACCCATTGAAGTCTGTCTATGGCTATGTACTGCATGCTACGCACAGCGGGGGTAAACACTTGCAATCGGCCGCATTAGGTGACACTGCCATTATCCGGCAGATTGTGTTTGCCAGCCTTTACCGCTTTGCAAAAGGGTGGGAAACGGTGACAAACGGGAGGAGACGGGGGCATAGTCACCGGTTTTGACTGGGGCTGGAGGGTGGGCATGAGGACGACGCCCCTCGATAGAAGTGTCCGCGGGCCCCGGAGCTAATTCAGCTAGAAGTCGCGTTGGTTAAGTCATTCCGGAGCTTCGGTGCGCGGAGATAAATCACAGAATGGGTCCGTGTACGCCTCGAGGATGTTAGGAAGTCCGGAGCTAAATAGAAAAAAAGTCTTTTAGAGCCCATAGAAGCCTAGAGGCGTGAGAGCGCTGTGTCGAATAAGCTCCGGGGGGGCTTGTATGATGTGCGGAGTCCGCGTTTTCGGGGGTCAGATGATCCTGAGGCTTATCACCAAGCTTGATGAAGATGTGGTGGTTGTCATGGAAATCATCCAAGGCTTGCTGCAGGTACTTGAGAGTCTCATCATCGTAAGTCTTGTTCTGAGCCTGGTATACAAAGTCCAGTAAACCATGTACAGCAGTCACCGCTTGCTGGGGTATACGACCTATCAGACATCCCAAGAGAACATGTGCCATGTCCTTCCTCTCACTCCCCTGTATCTGCATCATCAGGGAAATCCCCTTCTTGAAGTGACAAACACCAAAGGATGGCGGAAGGCAGGAAAGACATGCATCAAGTTCTGCTGGATCGACGATCTTCTGACACCAGGTAACAAGGTGTTTGAAGACTCCTTGGTATAGCTGGTGTAAGATGTCGGGAGTCATAGATGCATGAATATTTGAGAAAGGAAAGTCCTGCCAGAAAGGATGATTGACCCAGCCTGAGAGATCGTAGTCTTGACACTTCTTCGCAAATTGAGATGATGGCCTCTGAGGAGGAAGACCTTCACAAAATTCAATGGCATCTCTGATAATAGACAATGTCCATTGCGACGTCCTTGATTCACAAGCCTCAGGCTCTCTCCCATCTCCTGGTTAGGACACTGGCATTTTGGACAGGTACCGTATTTTGTGCAGGCCACTAAGCATTGCTCAGGATAGTCTGCCACATAGCAGGCCAAGACAGGGTGCACCTTCCTTGCAGAGCCGTCTCCACAAACCATCTCCATGCCAGAACAACCTGCCTCCTTCAAGGGCTCAAGGATAGTCTTCATTGACTCGTGAAACAAGTGCTGAGTTAGAGCCCTGCAAGCTGACTGGGTGATGCCTCCCTTGGATATCTTATCTGCAGAGAGATAGGCTACACACCCATCCAAACTCAATGTCAAAATCAGACCACTGGGCGACTCCGGCCCCGACCTGAGCTAAATGTGGCACGGCCTCCACTTCAGCTGGATTCAGACCAAAAATGCCAATCAATAGATGTCAAATGACCTGGACCTTGCGCGGGCCTCCAGAGTTGACCTCCACCTGAGGTTCAAGTCAATTCAGGCCGGTGCAGCATTTTGGGGCTACTGCTTGTCATTCTGTTTGCCCAGGCCATCTGTCTTGCTCGTCATACACAAAATAATAAGTAAAGGATATGTTATTTTCCTGCATGTATACACCAAACTTGGTACAAGCTACCCTACATATACATACAACAATCGAAACATAACCCCACGTGTGTCAGCTCCCATATACCCACCAACTTTCGGGCGGATGTGGCATAAAGAACCTTTACAGGGTGCATGTAAGCAGAGGGACAGACACGATTGGTACTGGTGCACGTACCGTTTACACCTGCCGTGCAAACTCACCGCCCAACTTCTGTCCGGCCTTCAGTCGGAATAGTCTCACTAGGCAGATATAGAGAAGTCAGGTTGTGTGTCATGGAATATCGCTTGGTACTCACCAGTCACCTATGTATGGAGGTACATCAATATAATCATGGTCGACGTCTGACGAATGTCGGTAGAGCTGCAGCGGGGAAGGGCACAATGTCGAAGTGGAACAGATGTGTGATGACTTGAACTGCGAGTCAGGTCGTTCGAATTTAGACTCCGCTGGAATTGGGCCGCGCATCCAAATCACGGTTCCGGGTGAGCCAGGATTTTGCTAACTCCCGCAAACAGATATTAGTGTTAGTTATGCTGGACTCCTTGCAACCAGGTAATGCACCCATGAGATATGTGTGTAGTACTCTTATCCATCCCAGGCTTGAATTTTGGTGTGATAGGTGGCAAATGTACCTCAAGCAGTCATCTATATTGGAGATTACAAGCAAACATCTACCACAACCCGACAGGATGTCAGGCCGGTACTGTGATGACCTTTGTGAGATGTCCGCGTTGAAATCTCAAGAAACTGTCACGTAGACCTGAGCCTGACATCAGGATGATGGTGGACGGGTCTTTCGGCAAAAATGCCTTAACAAGCCCACACCAGCATTCACCAGACCTTTCGAAGCAAGGTCTATTTGAGATCTGGACTGTAACCTCGCGTACACTCGAGACCACGTTGGGCATGTAGCAGAACAGTACCTCTCTCAGACGGACGTCGATGAAGGGCCTTGGGAAGGTTTCAAATGTGAGATATACAGGGTAAGCCTGACGACCGCCAGAGAATTGGGTTAGCTGAGTCTTGTCTGTGGATATGATAATTGGCGCAATTGTAGTGCCTTCAGGGAGGAGACTCTGAATAGAACACAGGTCAGCAAGTGAATAAAAGAAGAGAAGGGAAAGCAGATATTACCTGAACTGTATACCACCAACGCCCAGTCCACATCTCATTGTAAATCCAACAATTATAACTGGAGTCAGACCAGACCCGCCTAGGGCTGTATACCATGCGCTCATTATGGGAAGGATTGGCAAACAGGGAGCGTATCACTTGAACACGGTCTCTATATTGAACCAAATGTCTTTCATTGGGATCTCCGAGCTCGCGCAGGAACTGAGTCCACTAGACTATGCAGCTCCCAAATATTAGAGAAGGACAGGCTGAGCTTCTCTTGCACCTGTACAATATATCAGATTGGTATCGACAAGCTAGACATCTCATCACTCACCCCTGGAATTTCTAGCAAGCGGTCTGTAGCTTTATGGCCTGGTGAGTCAGTGACTACCCATCTGGCCACACGCCAATCTAACTCTGAAGCAAAGGGCCAGAAAGGATTCCCATCTCCATCCTTTGCCTCTCCCAACGACATTCTTACGTCCTCATCGTCGCATTCCTCCTCAAAACCTTCCTCCTCAGAAATAGCCTTCCATCTCTTCAGGAGAGTACGATCCATGCATATGACTTTGCCAGCTCCAGGATATTCTTCAGTATCTCTCTCGTCTTCATCGTCATCCAGAGCTCTGCCAGAGGAGGGACCACCCCCATTGCTCGAGGAGGGCTGGTTGCTGTCCGTTTCCACAAAGTCAGTTGTGTCCCATGAGTTTACCCATTCATAGAAGTCCTGAGCAGTATCAGAAATGTTTTGAGCCCCTTCATCGTCGTCTTCATCGTTGTCAGAATCTGACAGGGTCTCCCTAAGATCCCATGGTTGTTCAGGCAGCTTTCCTTTTCGATACCAGGAGCAAGACTTTGCCATAGACAGATGAGAGTGCATGCCCTTTATACTACTGAAGAGCTTGTAGCATGCAGGGCAAGTACGATCCACATTGAATCCAGAGTAAGTCTCCATGTCTAGGGCCTCTATAGGACCAGGGGAACTGAAGGAAGCTGACGGAAATAGGGAAACAGGGAGGCGAACTCCTAAGGAGAAGTACTCCTCCTTCCCACGATCTAAGGTTGTAGAGATGTCTTATTACATTGGACAACCATGGGTGGACAGCATACACCAGCATTAAAAAGTACATTCATATGTGCAACAACACAAGAGGGTGTAAGTTTGTGTCGGTGAAACTGACATGTATGTCAAAGGGGGTGTGTCACGGGTGAGTGAGAGGTAAGGTTTCTCGAGGGTGGGGATGAACAGGGAAAGGGAAAGGGATGGTCTGAGGGCATCTCACACACACGGGCTGGTGGAGGGCATAGACAATCAAATTTGCCAATGGGGGTGAGGGCGTTGAAGGTGATGACAACATCGAGGGTGGCGGGTAGTCGGGCCAGGCAAATAAGAGGGTGCCATACCCAGCACGGGATTTTGCAGTCGAGTCGCACCTGTAAAAAGAGTCTGCCGGGGGCTGCTACACCATGCTCAGCAGATGGCCTCAGACGAATATACAGATATTTCTTTATCTTGCACTGTGTTGCTTTGGTCCTGCACATTTGATGCCTCACACCTGTTCTTTGACTTGATAAGTGGATTGACATTGTCAGCCATTGCGGCCAGCAGGTGGAGTTTAACGAGTTGGTGATTTACTCACCTTATGAACACGTCTCGCATGATCATGGCAGACGATAATACTACTGGAGTAGAAGTAAAAGATCAGCCTGACACTAAGCCAAAAATCATCACAGCAGACATACCCAGCAGAGTCGCAGCCTCCAGACAATTGCCCACCTCTTGCTGTAGTATTATTACATTATTCACCCAATACTACCGTGTACCCTATTACATTAAACAGGCTACACGTGCGGTGTTTATGCATTATTCTCTGAATACCTTATACAGCTCCCAGCAGCCCAGCTGGGCTTGAATATGACAGCCCCGGCATCTCCGGCATGGAGATCCAAATCAGGATTTGATACTGAGCTGTTGCCAATAATAGGTGGGTGGCCATACCTGGCCCTGTAGGGCCCAGAAAAATACGGAAAAATACTGAAAAATCATATGATATTTCTGGGGCCAGGCCCAATGGTACCGGACCTATACATAGCGTGGGAATGTGTTTAGAGGGCCACACAACAGCTACTAGCAGCGGATATAAAACCAGGAAAAATGCGCAAAAATCTGGGAAAAACATGGAACCTGCTGTGGCTGACAGCACACATGTGGCATCACTAAATTACATCAGCACATGCCAAATATGGCAACAATTGATATGGGATACCTCCAGGATCTACATTTCAGCTTCTTTCCATATCTGGGGTTTATTTGTCCATGCTGTTGATGTTGTTACTAATGTAGCGGTTAAAACAGTGCATAGGAATAGGGAGTGCTTGTTCTAATCATGTGTAGGTACCATGGGCTGTGCATTGCTGTACAAAAATTATTTTCACTGCCGGCTCTGGGACAGTTTTTCGCATTTTCCCACACTATTGCTATGCCACATTGCTGGGCATTTGGGGGTCTTACTCAGCCCATATAACGCCACATGTTTACATGAGACCCCAAGAGATTCTGAACAACAAGCAGCTAACTACTGCTTTTGGGTATTACTCCTCCTATGGACCCCCCATGGCTACTGCTTGTGGTACTATGGGGTATAACACACTCCCCTTGGTGTATATTAGCATTTGCCGCCACGCACATCAATGTTGGGCCCATCCAGACCACCCCTTGGTGACTCGGCACCAGTCATCCTCAAAATCACCTGTATCACAGCACCCCGGGACAGCCAATGCACCTACAGCACTGGAAACACTCACAACAACATCCTATCACATGCATAATACATTACTGAGCTTACCCCAACCACCCCGGAAGACACTAAGCATCCCTAGACACCAAAACCACCCACCCCAGGACAGTGGCCACAGCCAGACAGTACTGGGTTGACTGCGAGCCAAACCATCCAAAAAGGTCCGAAAATGCACTGAGGTAGTACTTTGACAGGCTGGGTGGACCAAAGCATGGGTGGGGTGCAGGTAGATGATGCATCATGCATGGGGCATCGTTGCTAGTGTGTTTAGAAGTGTTTCCATGGCTGTAGGTGCATTGGCTGTCCCGGGGTGGTGTGATATAGGTGTTTTTGAGGATGACTGGTGCCAAGTCACCAAGGGTGGTCTGGGTGGGCCCAAAAATGATACACATGATGGTACATGCAAATATACACTAAGGGAGGTGTGTTATAACCCATAGTAACACAAGTGGTAGTCATGGGGTGTCCATAGG